GCATGCTACATGTATTCGAATGGGGCAATAAAATAATGTGACTGTAATATCCATCTATCAAAGCCATGATCAGGAATAATTAGCTCTGAAATCTGATCTGGGTTTCTTGCTAATTCAAGAAATGAAAATAGCAAAGAGAAGTCACGAGAGAAAAGCTTCCAGCAGAAGTTCCTCCAAAATTTCAAAAAAAAAATTGTCGCTCTCAAATGCTCCCTTAAAGGGGTATTTATAGCCGAGCAAAGGGGAAGGAGCTCACGGCAAGGAGGGCCCATGTGAATCCAAGAATGAGACTCATGAGCTGGAGAGGCCGTTACAAGAAAGTAACCGGCAGTTATGACCGGAGAAGGTAAGCCAACGCCGGAGGGGAAGGGAAAAATCGGAGAAACCGGAAGAAGCATTGTTGCTCGACCGAGAGAAAGAAGCTAGGGCACGATTCAGTCCCAAAAAGAGGAAGGGAGTGTATGTGAGGGAGAGTTTAGATTTAGGATTTAAAAAAAAACCTTTTAATTTAAAAAGATTTTTTTTTGAAAGAAAATATCAAATTTTGTGCAAAAATATCAAATTTTGTGCAATTCAATATCAAATTTTGTGCAATTCATTCGTGCGCGGTGCCCCAACAAAATGGGTGTCCTCCCTAGCTAAAATTGACATTCCGAACGCGACGGCGCGGTCTATTTCATCATCCGGAGTCATCCAGACAAATTCGTTGACGATCGCGTCGAATTAACTTCGACTCGTGCGCGACGCGATAAATGAAATTATTTTGACCCGATCAGAGCCGTTCAACGAATATATTATGACCGGTCCTCACATAAACGATGACCAAAGTCAAACACATCGCTCGCAGTGGCAAGTCAAACATCGCACACGCCACGGTGTCCACCTATGTCTTTCAAATTTCTATAGGAGCTCAATAAGAGTTTCAATATGTCGGCTTTCATCGACTCAACTGGATGTCAAAGATTATAAACCCTTCATATGGAACTTCAAGGAGCGAAGAAATAGCTTGAATTTCTAAGGGGTGTAGGTCCCAGCTTAGCCCTCTAAGGGAGTCAAAATAAGGAAATCATAAGGCTAGATCCTAAGATATCTAGAGAATGAAAGACCTCAAAATGAGGTCAACAACGTGCGCACAGCCACCCACCTCATTAATAGAATGTCAAGTAGGGTTTTTCAATTTAAAGCTCCTCTCAAGATTATGTTGGAAAAATACTCTCAAGTCAGAGCATTCTCATTCAATCTTCCTCTAAAAATATTTGGTTCACTTTTGCTCACATTCACTAATCAAACCGCACAAAGCTTGACCCAAGATCCATCAAATTTATTTTCCTTGGGTATGCTTCTAGCAAAAAGGGTATAAGTGTGATTCTCCTGTTAAATATTATAACTCTATGAAAGTTACCTTCATTGAAAACCAATTCTACTACGCCAGATCTGATATTCAGGGACAGAGTCCAAGTGAATATCAAACTTGGGCACTACTTTAGATACCCACACTGATCTATAGTCATTATAATATATTCTTTTTCCATCTAACCATCCTATCTTCCAAGTTTCACCAGTTGAGAACAACCAACCTAAGATTGACAACAAGAAATTTTGTATGTATACTAGAAGAAAGAAATCCAATGAGCTAGATAAAGACAAGATGCACCAACAAGGCTATTCACAATCAAATCTAAATTCACACATCTCTGAAGTTCCAAGAGAGGTGGAATCCAATAGAGGAGAATAAAAAAGTTGCACAAATTATCTTATCCAGAATTATGTTGCCTATAAGAAGTTATCATCAACTTATAAAGCTTTTATATCTAATCTTGATAGTGTGCAAATACCCAAGTCTATTCATGAAGCACTTTAGAGTTAAGAATTAAAAAAAAAACCATTAAGGAGGAGATCCAAGCACTTGATCTAAATAACACATTGATCTTTACAAGGCTTCTTCTAGATAAAAGACTTATTGGATGCAAATGCATCTTCAATGTCAAGTACAAAGTAGATGGGAACATTGAGAGGTTTGAGGCTAGGTTGGTGGCCAAAGGTTTAATCCAGCCTCATGAAATAGACTATCAAGAGATAATTTGCTCCAACGGCCATGTTAAGTACAGTTAAGAGTTCTTCTTTCCTTAACACAGACAAAAGAAAAAAAATTGCATCAACTTGATATCAAGAATGCATTTCTGAATAGAGACCATGAGAAAGAAGTGATATGGAAATCCCACTATGAATAAAAAATGACTCAAATAAACATCTAATTTGTAAACTAAAAAAATCACTTTATGGTCTTAAATAATCTCCAAGGGCTTGGTTTGACAAGTTTGTCAATACTATGAAATATAATGGATATATCAAATGTCAAGCGGAGCAATACTGTTCATAAAACATACACAGGGAGGTAAGAAGGCTATACTCATTGTCTATGTAGATGCCTTCCTAGATGATGATGAAAAAAAGATTGGGAGGAACAATGAAGTTCTTGCCACTAAATTTGAAATTAAGAATCTATGAGCGTTAAGATACTTTCTAGGCATGAAAGTGATCATGTTTAAGAAGGGTATTATAATATCCCAAAAAAGTACATCCTAGATCTACTAAAAGAGATAGGAATGCTGGGAAGCAAACTTGATGAGACACCTATGAACTTCAACAAAAGGTTACATTCGGGGTAACAAAAAACACCAGTGAAAAAATGTGGATACCAGAGATTTGTGGCAAAGCTTATCTACCTGTCAGACTGATATCACTTACTCTATCAACATTATAAGGCAACATATTAATAGTCAGAATGATGAACATTTGAAGATGGTTTACAAAATATTGAGATTTCTTAAGAAGCCCCTGACACAGAGTTATTGTTTAATAAATTTGACAATAGGGAGGTAGAGGTTTATACTGATACTAGTTGGGCAGGAGAACTCGCGACATAAGGTCCACTTTTAGGTATTTTTCCTATGTCTGGGGAAATATTGTCACCTATAGGAGCAAAAAGCAAGCAGCGGCCTCTAGAAGTAGTGCAGAATCTGAGTGCGCACTTGCTTTGGGAATTTGTTCAGGAATGTAAATTCAAATGTTACTAAGTGAGTAGGGATACTCCACAGTCAATCCCATAAAAATGTTTTGTGATAGCCAAACTCCCATTAGTATTGAAAGAAATCCTATGCATCATGAGAGGACCAAGCACATTGGGATTACTAAACATTTTATCTCTAAAAAGGTCAATGAAAACATTATTCATTTAATCTAGATTCGGGCTCATCTTCAAGTTGTTGATCTTTTTACTAAATCTCTACCTCTAGGCAATTTCACTGGTTTGAATACCAAGCATGGGCTTTTACAACATCTGCCTTTACCCCATCTATGGCCTAGCTTGAGAGAGATTGTGGAATTATGAGTTTCCCATATTATGTTATTCTCTTTTTGTTATGTCATATTTCTTTTATTCTTGAGTTAGTTTATCTTTGGTAAATTGAAATGACTGTAATTAAGTTTGTCCTAGTCGTTCCTTACTTGATAAGGAGAAGAGGTGTAATTTGATTAGCGAAAATAAGTGAATATAAGTGAATATGATATTCTCCACCGAATTGACAAGCATTTTATCTCTGAAAAGGTTCATCGTGGAACTATACAACTAAGTTACATCCTGATACACCAACAAGTGGTTGATGTTTTCACCAAAGCTCTTCCTTAAAGCACCTTCTTAAAGTTCAATACCAAGCTTGACCTCTACAACAATTGCAACTCATTTGAAGGGGAGTGTGGAAAGCTGAATAGTTCGACTCTTCTTCATGGTGGGCCAGTCGGCTACTTCATAAAATCGTGGAAAGATTTGAATGGGGATATAGTTGGAAACATGTTTTTAGTTTTATTTTCTTCATATTTTATGTTTCTTTATTTTTCATTTTAGAATTACTTCCTTTCCTAATTTAGACTAAAAATATTTGGTAAGTTTATAATGACATGATTATGAGCGGCTCACCTATTTATAAATAAGAGTACTAAGATGGAGGAGAAAATAAAATGTGTATATCTTGCAGACAAACGCTTAATATGAATCAAGCCCTCAATGTACCCTCCTAAGCAAGCAACCTCAAGCGATGGGAGAGACCTAAAGTACCAAAACAGAAAAGGTAGAAAAAGAAGCATAATTACAAAAATAAAAGATGAGATATGAGAAAATAGCCTAAACTAATAAATAAATATATAATATATGACTAATAAATAAATAATTAAATTAATTAAATATCAATTCTCTCAAAAATTCCTTGTTGAATTTGTTTATAAACATAAACAAATGAGTTGAAAAGTGTTTAAGTTTAATTTATTTAGTCTTAAGAGTTAAAAAAGAAGATTAAACTTATTTAATTTATAAATTGAACAACTTTGAAAGTGTATTAATCTAGAAGAGTTTAGGTCATTCATCAAATACATCGGTTCACTTGCAACCTTTGAAAGGTGCAAGCATACAATAAGTTCGTAAAAATCCATTGAGAGATATCTAAAAACTTCAAGAGCCACAAATTAGAGCATAAAGACTGCTTAGCAAATGAAATAAGAGTATAATGTAAATTGATGACCAAAAAAAAAATCTTTTGCTTAAAATAACCACACATGACTTTTTATTAAATATATACAAGTTATGATTGAGCTTGATGTCAATCCTCTAAAAGATTCCTTGTTGAACAACAATTAACTTTGTTTATAAACATAAACAAATGAGTTGAAAAGTGTGTAAGCTTGATTTTTTTAATTTATAACTTAAACAATTTTGAAAGCTTAAACAATTTTGAAAGAGTATTAATCGAGTAGAGTTTAGATCATTCATCAGATACATTGGTTCACTTGCAACCTTTGAGAGGTGCAAGCATAAAATTAGCATGTAAAACTCCATTAAGAGACATGAAGAACCACAAATTAGAGCATAAATAATAATACTAAGCAATGAAATAAGAGTATAATGTAAATTGATGGAAAAAAAAATCTCTTGTTTAAAATAACCACACCTGACTGAATCATTGCTCTCAGCACCAAAATTTATTCTTGCAGAAAGACTTAGAAAATACTGAGTTTCAAATATTGTGAAATACAGTGACCCGTTGAACTGCCGAAGCTCAAGTGTTGAAATAAATGGTTGCCCAGTTGTAGCATTGGATAAACAAACACTCACTGTAGGCAATGTAGCCAGAAAAATTAACTCCTCAATTTCAATGGTATTTTCATCAGATATAACAATTGTTGACCAATATGAAGCTTCAAGAGAAAGATCGAATTTAGGATAGGCATCACTTGTACCAAAATTTCCATACAAAAAGGTAGCTCTAACGAGGTAACGAGTTCTATTCTCAACCTGTAATGTAAAACAGTATTTATTATCATCTGCAGGGAAGTATCGCACTGTCGTGTATTGCTTCCGAGCCTCATTGGGAGTAGATATGAAAGAAGTTCCACCAAAGGTATTTTGATCATCAGGAGTCCATAAGAGACCTAGAGAATCTGTGTGATTCTCTGTTCCTCCACAATCCAAACTCAAAAAACCTGCTTTCCAAATAGGAGGAACAAAAAACAAATTAGCAAACAAAGTAGCTTCATATTTTTTGGCTTACCTAAGGACACAACTTTCTTAAACTGGACTAGCATTATTTTATATAGACCCATAAATGTCGTCTAATAAAGTGGGCCTAAATTTTATTATTTGGATGGTAAATGTTTTGGTTTTCCGTATGAAGAGTGGATTACATCACCCCTTCTCATGATTCAATAGATTACTACTTTTCCCCATAAGAAGAAACTCCAACCTATATGCAAGACTTGAGAGAAGAAACGTACGGGAGTAAAATCACCTAACAAACACAGGTAATAATCTTATCATGTGTTATAATTTCCGACTATGTTATCAGAAAAATTTTATCATGGAAGACCAAAATTAAAATACCAACAACAACAAATGTTAATAAAAAAGACAATGGCAATTTGCAAATCATAAAGAAAAGGTGTACTATACCATCTTGTTCAAGAAATTTGTAGAAAATGATGAAAAGGGGAGAAACATCTCACAAACTAACAAAGGCTGATAATTTTTTTTTTTTTACCTAGCGACACTTTGGGTTCAATTCATTGCAAATACACATATTGTAGGAAACAAGTTTGGAGAAAATAATTCCTTAGTCTTATTATTCACATGTAGGGTACATATATATAGGGAAAACAATCCCTCATAATTTACGAGCTTACCAAATATATCTACTCTAAATTAGGAAATGAAATAAATCTGAAATAAAAAATAGAGAAACAAAAAAAGGAAGAGCATAAAACTAATTAAGGGGTTTCCAACAATCAAATTCTCCATGATTTCTATGATAGTAGGCTGACCCACCCTAGCATGCAGTCGAAATCCTTAGTTTTCCAAACTCTCCTTCAAGTCGGATTGTATATGTTATAGAGACCAAGGTCGGAATTAAACTCTGATAAGTTGTTTAAAGTAAGTGTTTTGGTAAAGATATTAATATCTTGTTGATGTGTCTGAATGAAGCTTAATTGCATAATTTCCCCATTAACCTTTACAAAAATGAAGTGTATCAAATTCAATATCTTTGGTTTTGTCATAATGCACGGAATCCTTGACAATACTGATAACTGTTTGACTATCAAAAAAACATCTATATATGCCTATTAAAGGTACACCTTAATTCCTTTAATAATTTATCAATTAGGATTCATTCACAGACTCCCAAGAAGAGAGCCCCATACTCTGATTCTGCATTGCTTCTTAGAAACAACACCTTGCTTTTTACTTCTCAAACTAAATTTGCATCAGTACAGACTTCTACCTCTTTATTTTTAATTTTCTCAAAAAATAATCTTTAATCAAGAGACTCCTTAAGAAACCTCAGAATCTTATACACCATCTTCAAATGCTCTTCATTTGGATTATTCATGTGTTGGCTCCCAATGTTGATCTAGTATGCAATACTTGGCCTCGTATATGATAGGTAGACAATTTTTCCTACCAATTTTTTAGCTTTCCTTATCCACATAGACACTTTCTTCTCCCCTATTTGACTCATCATTTAGATCCATTAAAGCATCAGCATGCTTGCATCCAATCATCCCTATTGATATGTCTTTTAGCATATTTACTTCCTTTACATTTAGCACATATTTTTGAATGAAATTGTACTTTAAAGGAAAGTATTTTTATGTTTTGATTGCAGATATAACAAATGAAGAAATGGAACGAATTGTAGCGAAAAAGGAGCTAAACAGAGTGAATTGAAGCAAGTGGCTGACCTCTGAACTGGCGCTTAGACGCCAAATCCAGAGACTTGAAGGCTTAAGCGTCGCATACTGGTGTCTAAGCACCAGTTTAAAATGCCAACTGATAGAGGAAGTGGCGCCTAGGCGCAACAGTTGGGCGCCCAGACGCCAGAACTGTCTGAACAGTTTTTCACATGATTTTGAGGTTTTTCATGGGGGATTGATGGCAGAAACAAAAGGGAGAGATTAGAAAAGTCAAGGAAGCATAGAGCACTACAGGGAATTGAAGAAAAGTGAGATATTTTTTTTCTTTCTTGTATTCTACTTTGATATCCGGGAGAGGTGAAAGGAAGTGTTGTAAGATTGCAAGAACACTTTAGGGTGGAGTTTGTCATTTCTCGGGGAAGAAGATAAGTACATTGTGTTTACATTGTGTTGTATAAATTATTTCATAGTATTTGAATTTGATGTGTTATAAGATGATGTGTCTTGTTGTTTTCTTCATGTAATTTGAGTAATTTCCTTTCACCTTCCTCTTGTAATGGATTAGTAGCATGTGTAGGGTTTAAATTAAAGTAGAATCATGTTACTTTATGGAATGTTATGGTATTTCATATGTACTTAATTTATTTTGCAAATTGGTCATTTGTGATGTTAAAATACGTTTTGAACCTCTAATGATCCGGGAGGGCTATAGCTTCAAACTAGTGAATACCACGCTAACCTATAGAGTGAAAAAAAAGTAGTCTTTAGATTAGTGCAAATAGATAGGAATATGAATTGTAATGGGTGGGGACTCTAGGGTGACAGGCTAGAATACTAACCAATTTGATCTAGGATTTAATGAATTAAAGCTAGATTAGCCAAATTGAGAGCATGATTTGGTGACTCTAGGGTGATAGGCTAAAATGATAACCAATGTAATCTAGGGTTTAAGGAATTGAAACTAGGTTTACCCAACTTATTTATGCACTCATAAGAGGGCAAAAAAGATATAAGCTCCTATTTGTCACATGTTTATTTAAAAATTCTAGTTAATTTACACCTGCACTAGCTACTAGTTTCATTACAAGGTGGGAGAAACTCGAATTAGCTTGAACTTTCTACTTCATTTAGCTTAGTGTATTTAGTGTATTAGGAACTTAGAAGAGAAGTAATTTAGTTGGATCCCCTAACACATTTTACATAAACTAAATTTCCAAGCTAAGACTTTTTGAAACCGGCTAGAACTTCTCTGAAGTCATTTAAAATTAACAGCTTTCCATGTGGGTTCATTATTCTAGATTTAAAGAAAATTTTATACTACTTAATCGATACGTATACTAGCGTTTATACCTAATTAGTAGTATTTAACCGTGATAAGTTTTGCGATATAATTTATAAAAATGATTTTAAATATAATATTTCATCTCAATATCACTAGGTATACCGTAGAGTAACTAGCGGTCACCCATCTCTTATAGTAAATCTAAGATGTATTTCCTCTGTGATGTAATGATGTCTTTCGTGGACCCCTACTACCTTCATACCTAAAAAATATCTCATGGTTCCTACGTCCTTGATTTCAAACTCAATGACGAGCACTTATTTGATCTTGAGAATCTATTTTTCATCAACACCAGTAAAAATCATATCACATATCATTCATTACCTCCTTGAGTGTGTTTTACGAACAGAGTATGATCAACTTGATATTGTGAATACCCATTAGATCTCATAGTTTTTAAAAGTTTTCAAGCCACACTCTTCGTGATTGCTTAAACCCACAAAGAGAGTTTCTAAGTTTGCATGCTAGGTATTTGTTATAATCAATCTCAAATTCTGGTGGTATCTCAATATAAACTTCTTCTAGAGTCATAATCAAGAAGATAATTTTTTGTCAGGTTGATGCAGTCTTCATTCTTTATTAGCTGGCGCTGAAAGGAAAACTTCGATAATATTAAGTTTGACAATTGATGCAAAGATCTTCTGATAGTCGATCTCATATGCTTAAGTAAAATATTTTGTAACAACTCAGGCTTTGAATCTCGCAATACCCCCATCATCTTTGTATTTAATGTTGAATACCTATTTGCACCCAACCAACTTCTAATCCAGCAGGAGTATAGTAAGAATTCATGCGTGATTATGCTATAATGCTCAAATCTCCTCTTTAGCTGCCTTCCTCTATTCTAGATTTTCAAAAGCTTCGGCTCTGTTTGGGATCACTTTCTATTTTTTGCTTTTATTTCTGGTTTTAGTATGTTTCATTTTTATTTTTTTTTGTTTTTTATTTTTAGAAAATGTGTTTAGTACTATTATGATTTATATGTTTAAAAAAAAAAAATACAAAACATGTTTAATTGCGTTTTTTTTTTTCTAAAATAAAATACTATACTTTTAAAAAAAATAAGTAAATTTATTATTAAAATTTTATATTTATTAAGTCTATAATTAGTAAGTTAATTAAATTATAAATTAATTAATTTAATCTACATTAATTTAATTAATTAAATTTTAAAATTATTAAGTTAGTTAATAAATTTATAAATATTTACTAAGTTAATTAATTAATTAAATTATAATTATTAGTTAATTAATTAAATGATTAATATTTTATTTAAATTATTAATTGATTAATTATTAAGTTAATTAAGTATATTTTTTATTAAAATTTTATAATTACTAAGATAATTAATTAAATTATTAATTGAAATTAAATAATTAATAAGTTTATAATTAGTAAGTTAATTAAATAAATTAATAATTAAAATAAATATTTTAATTAAATTTTACAATTATTAATTAAAATTAAATAATTAAAAAATTTATAATTATTAAGTTAATTACGCTAATGAATTAAATTATTAATTAAAATTATTAATAAATTAAATTTTATAACTATTAAGTTAATTGATTAAATTTTATAGTTATTGTTAATTAAATAAATTATTAATATTTTATTAAGTTAATTAAGTAATTAAATTATAAATATTAAGTTATTTAATTAAATGATTAATATTTTATTTGAATTATAAGTTAATTAAGTTGATTTATTATTAAAATTTTATAATTATTAAGTAACTAATTAAATTATTACTTGAAATTAAATAATTAATGAATTTATAATTATTAAGTTAATCAAGTTAATTAATTAAATTTCTAATTGAAATTATTTAGGCCTAACGTATTTTGGTTGTTTTCAAAACAAAGAAAACGTGTTTCACATGTTTTCTGTGTTTCGAAAACATCTCACTTGCATCTAAAAACAAATTTAAAATAATAGATTAAAAAAATGTACA